AAAAAAAAAAAACACAGGTGGGCCGATTTGGCCTGCGGGCTAATGCGGGCGGGCTACGGGCCATGGATTTTCCAACCCGTAGAAATGTGGGCCATTTTGGCCCGCCCCGTTTGAACCGCGGGCAAGCGCGGGCCGGACCGGACCGGCCCGTTTGACAGTGCTAGGTATATTAGACGCTTATTGTGTTTGATAGACAAATTAGTTAGCTTATAGTTTATTTGGTTAGTTTATAAGCTCTCTGTTTCCAAATAAGTTCCGTTTGGTAGGACGAGCTCGAGCATGAATTTCTTAATGTAACTTTTCAAATTTTTTATTTCAGCTAGCTTATCAGCTAATTTTACCAAACGCTTTCATTATATAAGCTAATTTTTCAGCTATAAATCATAACATATATAAGTTATAAGCTCAAAATATAACTGATGAGGTATAAGCTAGCTAGTTTTACCAAACATAGCCACGTGGGTCATCCAATTTATGGATGTGCATATCCTCCCCGGTTATTTCTCAAAATACACATTTGACCCCGGCTGAACCTCTAATTTCACAAATATGCTCACTAAACCCAGATCCCTTCATTTTTCTTGAGGAAGGAAAAAAAAAACAATGCGAATCCTTCTTCGAGCATTCGCACAGCCTTCCATTGAAACCAACCCTAAACCGTTAAGGTTACACAACCTCAGCCTGTTATTCAAAGAACCTTTTCTACCCAGGATGAGGGCGGAAACAAGGAGTCGGATTGGGCGGCTTATTTCGGTGGAACTGGGTCGTCGGGTCTCGACTCCCTGGGATGGGATGTGGGCCCCTCATCATGGTCCACTGGGCTCGCCAAAGAACACTTTGATGGTGAAGTTGTTGGGCAGCAGGTTAGATCTGATGCGGGCCATGGAAAACCCAGCGTTGGCGGAATGGGTGGCCCGAAGGAGGGCGGGTGGTATTCAGAAGCGAGATGGACGGATGAGGAGATCAAGAAAATGAACGAACTGGAGGCTGCAAACCGCAAGGGAAAGGCTTTTGTAGATAGCTGGGATGATAGAATGGATGAAACAACTGTTTTGATGAAGCAGGTTGATCTTTTTACTATTATTATTATTATTGGTGGTCAATTTTAAATGTTTTTTAAATTAGCTGTGTCTCTTATCCTTTCATGATGTTTTAGCTGCAATTTATTGTATTCCTGCTTGTTTGTGACTGCGTTTCCTGTTTTTAATCATGTATCAAATCTTGATCATGACGACTCTTTTAGAAGAAGATCTTCTTTAATTTTATTGATTCTAATTTTTTATGATGATTTTCCTGTACGTCCTGTAGTCATTTTTATGATCACGTAACACGCTCATTCCTTTTCTCCAGTCATTTTTATGCTTTTTATAGTTGTTTGAATATATGTGTATGGTATTATTAGAAGTGCAACATACTACAAGAGATAATCAAGCGCGTATCGGTTTCAAATTGTTTTTTATCGGCTTGTGGTAATGATTTATATCCAAGGAAGGAAAAATATTAGGTTCTGGAAACAAAATTTGTTTAGTGATAATTGGAATTTTTTGAACGAAGGTGAGGGAGCCTGGGGCCAGGGGATCGTACTTGAAGGATTCAGAGAAAGCAGAGATGTACAAGAAGCACAAGGAGAATCCAGAACTTTACACAGTGGAAAGGCTGGCAAAGGAATACAGAATCATGAGGCAGCGAGTGCATGCAATTTTGTGGCTGAAGGAGCTTGAGGAGAAAGAGGAGAAGAAACTCGGGCACCCATTGGATGACTCTGTCGAGCAATTGCTTGATACTTGTCCCAAGTAAGCAAAATATGATGCATTACATTACGGAAGATATCGTTATGCTTGAGTTTCATGCTTTAATGTTATACTTACTGATGCATTACATTACGGAAGATATCGTTATGCTTGAGCCTGGGGCCAGGGGATCGTACTTGAAGGATTCAGAGAAAGCAGAAATGTACAAGAAGCACAAGGAGAATCCAGGAGTTTACACAGTGGAAAGGCTGGCAAAGGAATACAGAATCATGAGACAGCGAGTGCATGCAATTTTTGTGGCTGAAGGAGCTTGAGGAGGAAGAGGAGAAGAAACTCGGGCACCCATTGGATGACTCTGTCGAGCAATTGCTTGATACTTGTCCCGAGTAAGCAGAATATGATGCATTACATTACGGAAGATATCGCTTGAGTTTCATGCTTTAATGTTATACTTACTGATGTGTGCAAATTTGTTCTGATTATTGTTTTTTGTTTTAGTGATTTGTAATGCATCATAAAATGTAAGAGTAGCTTTGTGAATTAAATCCGTGAGCGCAGATATTCATTGATTGGGTTGAGATGAGCCCTTTATTATACCGGGTACAATATGGTTTTTTGGTGCCTTACCAAAACAAAACACCACTTGAATACATATCATAAAGGAGCACTATATCGTGCAAATTGTCTATTAGACCCTGTACATTATCATTTAATTCACGGAAAGTAGTCGTAGTCGTAGAGTGGGGGTTTTCTTATTCTTTTGACAAACTCTTTCCATTAATTTTCTAGATTTATGTTGTTTAATATCTTTCGCATGCCAGCTATTATGTGATTCGGCTTCTTTGCGAATGACAATGAGTTATTCTTTGTACAGAAATGATTGTCTAAGCCAATAATTTGCATGAGGCAAGCTCTGTTTTTTATTATCTCTTTAAACATTGCGTACTAGGTTGAATAAATACGAAGGCTGTATTCAAATTATGCCTCTCAAATGGCTGTAGAGGCTTTTGAGTGAGAGTTCTTGTGTCACTGTGAATTTGGACCTTCTGTTTGCATCATCGTGAATAACTGTCAATTGTCGTCAGTTGGCAGCTGAAAAGTTTCATATCTGAAATTTTATCATTAACTTACGCTGTATTTTTGTGGCTATGTGGTTCTAAACCTGTCTTCACTTGTGCTGAGAGTTACATTTTCTTGATCTTTTGGCCCGTGTAGGTTTTTTAATTCCCATGACAGGGAATTTCACGTAGCATCCCTGCCATATAAACCAGATTTCAAAGTCATGCCAGAGGGTTGGGATGGCACCACCCGGGACCCAGATGAGGTGCACTATGAGATCTCAATGAGAGAGGATGAGATGTTGTACCAAGAATTTGTCCAGAGAATGAACTTCAACAAGATGAAGGTAATAAATAATAATACCCTATCTGTAATTC